GGGGGGGGGGGGGGGGGACGCCTCTCAGATCCGGAGCCTATCACGTCCTCCCCTCCGCGTCTGACACACCTCCAAAATATGACCACTCCACTACACAGATATCACAGCCTGGAAAGTCACGCGTGGGCCGGAGTCACAGGTCGGGGTTTTGTCCACGCGCCAAATAAAAGACGAGATAACCCGTTCCCCCCCTGGTAGAAAAACAACAACAACAAAAAGACGAGAAAAGAACAACTTGGGGTTGGGGGGGGGGGCACTTTGAACAGCGCGTGACGGATGCTTGAGCGTTTCTGGCTGCGCGAGGGGAGCCGCGGAGTTCAGGACTCTGTGATCCGTGCGTAAAGGTTCCGCTTTGCGCCGGTACTTTTCACCGTCTTTTTTCTCGTTTTTTTTTCCTTCTTTTTTCTTTTGCCCGTTGTGGTTCGCGTGGACGCGCCCGAGCGTAACTTATGCCATTTGGCACCGTCCGGGGGGCGCGCGGCTGCAGATGGGCGGCACAGGCGGCAGCCTCTACCTCAGCATGTTGAATGGGACCGACGCGCAAACTTTCGGAAAGAGCGCCGACGGCCTGCACCGCGCGGGGAAGGATCTACCCGACTTCAAGATGGGCCTCCAGGACGCGCGCTTCTACTACGCGGACCCCGGTGCCCAGGGCGGCCAGGACCCGCTCGCGCTGCCCTTCCACGCGGAGCAGCCCGTGGGGGGTTACGCGGCGCAGTCCGGCCGCTTTTACGCGCAGAGCCTGGGCGGCTGCGCCTACGGGGGCGCGCGCTCCCCGGCGCGCGGCGGCGGGACCGGGCCGGGCTACGGTCCCGCGGCCGGGGACGGATTCCCCATGGCGGGGGGGAAGGACGTTTACGCCGCCATGGCCCCCGAAAACTACCCGGGGGGGTTCCAGCACGGCTACCAGCGGCCGCCGCTCTACCCCTTACCTGGGCTACAGGTGTGCGGCAAGACCCAGGCGGTGCTCAACAACTACCCGCTGTGGGCCAAGTTCCACAAGTTCCAGACGGAGATGATAATCACCAAACAGGGGAGGTAAGTGGCTCAGAAAAATCTGGAAATTATCTTTAGTTTTTTTTTAGATATTGTAAATTTCTCTCCGCTCGCCTTTAAAGGTTTTTACTTACTTTCTAATTTAGTCACTCGGCTCACAGTCTGCAGATACGTCTTGACCTCAAAACCTCACCTTTTACTATAATGACCTTTTTTCTGAGAATTGCTGCTCTGTGGTAGCTGGGGGTCCCAGTAAACTCATCTGGGGGCTCATCTGAAGTCTGGAGTCGTCGCCACATCACTGTTAAGATTTTGATTTGACGCGTAAATAACTGGATCTGCTTGAGGAAACAACCCAGATTCACTTTTTAGTCTAACCTAAAGCCCATTGTAGCACAGCAATTCATAAAAACTTAACACTTTCTTATTTAGAAGAGTCTAAAAAGTAGTGGAAATTGAATTAATTTAATTAAATAAATGATTTTATCTGCTTGTAAAAGAGTCACATTTGGATTTAGAGGATAGTTACTGTAAGGCCAAAGAAATTAAGACGAGGCTCAGTTGTTTGACCTCTTACTACTTCATAGAGGGACTCTTTGCCTTCTTTGGCAGGTTGTATTTTTTCTGTCAGTCGCATCTCCTCAATTACTTCTCAAATGAAAATAGGGGGTGTCAAGATGTCTTAAACCTAGGGGAGCAAATCTAATCTAGAAGGGAACAGAGAAACCGATAACGAAACCTCAACGTGATAACTTCAAGTGGCTAGCTTTCAAGTTGATAAGACTGTGAAATTGTGATTTAAAATCAAAACAAAGAGAGGGAGAAGAATAAAGGGGGCAAAGGCAACTGTCTGTGGAACAGGTTTGACCCCAAAGCAAGGGAGTTGCTGGCGGGCTGCTCTGATAGGTCACCGAGCATTAAGACGCAGCCACGTCGACGGGGATTAATCCTCTAATACGCGACACCCGCCTTTGACAGAAGGTTTGGGGCCATGGGTTTCTCATGGCTCGGATCCGTGCACGAGGAGGCACCGCGCTGTCACATAATAGCGCGCTGATATTTGCAGTGACCTCACCCGACGTCTGCTCCGAACCCAGATTCATTATTAAGACGAGCGGAGCCAAAAAAAAACACACACATGCATCTGAATTATTCAAGAGACAAAAATCTATTTCATGCATTTCCTTTTTTAATTTTTTTTTTAAAGGTTTTCTAGGCAAAACAAGCCTTGAGAATTAAGAGTTTGAAGCCAGAGGCTGCCTTCTTGCAGGATGTTCCCCTTTGGCCTGCAGAGTGTGTCTACTTTCTGGTTACTTTCTGGTTGACTAGTGAAAGAACGCCTGCACAGCTCAGTCAGACAGGCCTCTGCAATGTGGTTTCTTTAGATTTGTTCATTAAACCTGGGCAAAAGTCATTTTAAAAATCTGTTTGCATGCTTTTCCGGTCCATTTGAATATCTGCTTTCAGTGTGTTGTGAATGATTTATGAGTGTGTGTGTTTTTTTTTTTCTTTTAATGTGAAAAGGGAAATAACTGTGTTGTTTTCTATTTTGTTGTTTCTCTGTATTTTCATCCGAGTGTCTGCGTGTGTGTTTGTGCACGGGCTTTCAGCCGGCTGACGCTAACAGGCTTTGACAGATTTCTCTCCAGAAACACTCATTCTGGTCAGTAGCTCCTCATCCACGAGGTCGTGTAATTAAACTGGCTTGTATTTTAAAGCAGCTGATTTCAGATGAGAAATGAAAAATGACCCACGATCGCTTCCACACGTGTGAAAAAAGCCCATTTTCAGAAAAAACCACAGACCTCATATTACGACCATTTCCACTCCCGATCGTGACATCGTTCTTGGCTTTTATCTCGACACCTCATCTTGCATAACTGAAGTAAACAAAACAAAAAAATATCCTCAAAGATTTCCAAGAAGCGGTTAAAAAATTATGTTTTTTTCCAATATCAGAGCCAGTGTCCTGCTTAAATTTTTTATCTTGGATTCTGGCTCACACAGTCATTTTACTGTGATTTTTATTTTATTTTATATAGAGAGAGAGGAGTCTGAGTGTGTGCAAAGTTAATCAAAACGCGGGTATCTTTGGGAGAAAGGGTGAAAGAAATGTGGGGAGAAGGGTCAAACACCACCGAGGCTTCAGATGGAGGTGCAGCGCCTTTGAAGCTCAGGAAGTAAAAGACCAGATTCTCTTTTTCTCTGCCTCCTTCGGGCTCCAGCAGACGCTGGCTGTTCGCTCTGACATCCCTCTGAAGTTTTCACCCGGGCGCCGCACCTGGCCTTTGAAATCTCGGCTCGTTCTCACGACCCGTGGCCGACTGGGCCCCGTTCACCTGCACCTCTCTCTCTGGAGCTAGACTCAGGTCACCCCGGGTCGCGGCCATTTTGGGCCCAAACGGCGCTCAAACCTCCAGCAGACGCACGAGGAAGTGGCAGAAAAAAAGGGGCATTCTGCTCGCAGATATTGGGATTTTTTACGACGTTTTCTCTTAAAAAAAAATGAGGTGACTAAAGGTGAAACAAGAAAGTGAATCTCTCTTTTTTTTTCTCTCCTTTTTCATTGGTTTGGCTAGTCTGTGGATCCCGGCACCTGGGGTGTTTTTCTACTTCAGACCTGAGTCAATAAAAGAAAACTCTTCCCTGCTGTGGTTTCCAAGAAGCACGTACATTCGGGGGTACTTTTTTTTTCAAAGAAACTTATTTTCATCATTTTTAGAGCCCCGTTTTGCCTCTGCTGGACGTTTCAGAAGCTTCGAGGACACCGATAAGCTCAGAAATTATGCAAAGTTTGCAGTTTGTGTTCGAGGAAAGACAAAGGACGGAGTAAAAATCTGACTCGGGGATGGCTTTTAGGGAAATAATGTCAAACTTCCCGCTCAGAGGAACCATGCTCACACGCTCTCTTTGCTCCACTGACTCCAAACGGTGACACGCGTCGGTTTGATGTCAGGTAGTTTTTTCGGGGAGAGGAAATAATCCTTTGATTTATTTTGCTCCCAGAATAGCAGCGACTGAACGCAAAGTTCCTCAATGACTGGAAGCTTTTAAGGCAGAGTTAACTTACTGCAATACCAACAAAACAGCATTTTTGTGCTTGCAAAACATTGAAAGAACACTAAAATGCAACTTTTTCCTCAATTAGATAAGTTACTTTTTTTTTTTTTATAGAAAAAAACATAATCTTTATAACCTAAGCCTTCCTTCCAAAGTATGAAATAGGATATTTTTGACAGAATTAGAAAAGAAGGCCCATATTTGCTGTGTTGTTTGGTGCCAAAAGGGCATTTTTTAAATGAATTTGTTCACTTGCTGTTTGAAAGCAGAAGTGCTACTATTTCAAGGTTTTGGCAGTATGACCTGTCACTTCCTGTTCAGCTGTCGATGGGTGTCTGTGCAGCTTTTCGCAGAAACATCTAGTGCCAATATTTTCAGATAGCTGAACGAGTTCTTCCTCTAATCTCTCCAATAACCTCCTCAAATGAGCAGCTCCTCGAATCGGCTGCGTTTAACCCACAGACCTATTAATACCGGCCTCCTGCTCATCACGCATGGGTTAAAAATAAGAGTCGATTTAGACAGATTAGCATCTGAGGTTTCGACCGACTTCTGATGAATCTCATCAAAACAATAAACTGTATCCCACATAAAGATCTGCGCCCAAAAGCACCCAGAACATCAGAATAATCCACAAGAACATCAGAATAATCCTCAGTTAAGGAGAAACTTCCTCTAAAATGGACTCCGGTTTGTCCTTTGCTTTAAAGCTCCAGACCTGTGTACAGGTCGCCACTCTTTCGGAGCCTTTTGACGGCACTTTTTTCCTGATTTGATCCAGTTTTCAGCTTTGTGATGCAGTTTTTTTGCTAGACGAGTGGGGGTTTCCTCTCCTGAAGACCGATGGAGGCTGCTCAGTGTCATCAGTTTAGAAGACATCGTGCATTCTAATGACATTTTTGTTATTTATATTAAGAAAATTTTGATTAATTCTCCATATGAGTGAGCACTGGCCATGTTTATTATATAGAAATAATGTGCTGGGAGCTGGGAAACGTCCACTCTGGAATAAGCAGGTACAGAAAATAGGTGGCATGTTCATGTGTGTGACCCCGGCTGGACACAGCGACGGAGATCTGATCCAATGTGGCCGGCAGAGCTCAGCTCTGCCCCAAAGGTGCACATTTTACCCCACAAGCCTCCCAGCGTAAAGCGCCGGCGTGACAACGTAAAGCGGGCATAAATCAGCGTCATCCTGCAGCGTCCTTCTGCCATTTCTGGCTAAAAAATCAGTCAGTAATACAAAAAAACTGTTTCATAAACGCTTTGGTGAGTTCAGGGAGCTTTTCTGGGCGTAGGAAACATCCCTGTTGGGGTCAGAAACACTTTTTCTTTCAGGAACAAACCAGTTTGGCACCTGACGTGCAGCTGCTGCTGCAGCCACTAGGGGGCGTCTTTTATAACGTCAAAGGCCATTGAGAATAATAATGATTTAGTTTTTTAGTTTGTTTGTTTGTTTGTTTATTTGTTGTTTATTTGACAGTCTAAAACCCAAAATCTAACATTTTCCTGCAGAATTGGACCTTGTTTGGTTTCTTGGGAGGTAAAAATTCCCAATTTTTCTAAAAACAGGTGTTTTTTTGCGACCCCTTTGATTGATTTTCCGGTTATTTTTCGGATAACGGTGTTCAGAAGCAGACCTGTGTGCAGTCTCGGGGACCTTTCGCCTCGCGCCTGCTCCGCGTCGATCCGGAGGCGCGTGCTCTGCGCGTTAAAGGCGCGCGCGCGCGGCAGCTGTAGACTGGCATGTTTTCGTCACAGACGATCAGGCGCGCGCACGGTGACAAAAACTGGACCTGAGCTCCTGTCCGGATGAATCAGGGGCTGCACTCATGCGGAAAACTCCTCTCCCTGGTGAATAGCTGGTTTCTCTCCACTCCTGCCCTCCATCCCCAGGCCAACCCCCCCCCCGCTCGACGCCCCCCCCCCCCACCCCTCCCCCCCCCCTCCCCCCCCCCCCCCCCCCCCCCCCCCCCCCACCCTTCTCCCTCTCTATGGCCTTTGACGTTATAAAAGACGCCCCCCCCCTCCATCCAACCCAGAGCCCCTCCAACATCCACGCGCTCTGTTTTGATTCTTTTTCCTCTTTCTTTTTCTTTTTTTAAATGTCAGAGTCTCTGTATTACTGTTTGCTCCGCCACACGCTGCCTGTCTGTGGTATTTCTGTCTGACAAACGCTCCAGAGATGAGTCCCCCCCCTGAGCAGCAGACTGAGGGAGGAGAGGCGGTTGCCGGCGGTTACCGTCACACGGCGGTGAGGCGGAGTGGTGGCCGTCTGAGTCCCGCTGGAGGGAGAAAAGTCTCCATATTTATGCGTCAGACGGCTCCAAAAGGCTTCTTCTGGCTCCCACATCCAAGTCGGCCATTTTGATTAGGTCATGTGACTAGCAGCTATCTCAGGTGGAAACTAAAGTTTACTGTCTGTACGAAATCGTAAGAAAAGATGATGTCCTAACCCTAATCCTGACCCTAAAACTAACCCTGAACCTGACCCTAACACTAACCCCTAAATCTAACCCTGACCCTAATCCTAAACTTAACCCTGATCCTAACCCCTAAATCCAACCCTAACACTAACCCTAATCCTGACCCTGACCCTAACCCTCCAGCCTTCATAATAGTAAGAAATAAAAAATTTTGGGTTAAACTTGTTTGGACTTATTGTACAAACCTATTTAACATCCACTATTTTAACATAATATTATGTATAGAGTTTAATTGAGTGTTTGCAAGATTAATGTCACTATTTTTAAATTAACGTCTATATTGCCACAAAACAACTACGACTTTCTTGCCTGGGATCTTCCTATTGGTGACCTAATCAAAATGGCCGACCTGGACGTGGGCGGGGTTGGATCTCCATCCTCGGTTTCCTGCAGCCAGATGTGCTCTGCAGTACCTGAAAACAGCTGCATTTTCAGCCTTATTGAGCCACTCTACCCACCCCCACATGCAAATGCCCCCCCGTTGTGCTTTCTATGGTTTCCCCCGGAGTCGAGTTCTGATTTCCTATAAAAGGCCCCACTATCGGTGAATCGACAATATGAGCAGAGCGAGAATTATTAGCTGTTCGGCTACTTTCTAGATGACTCTGCACTGTGTAGGTGAGCCCATCCATTCCCTCCGGTTTCTGTTTTGGCTCGTATTAAGTGGAAGAAGAACCCCTCCACCTGTTCTCTAAAGAGCTGTTTCCCTGATAGGGTTTCACAGAGGGGCTTTGATTGATTATTAAACTGGACATATAGCTGGAAAGGCCCCGCTGGGACCACTCAGATTGGGGTTTTGTCTTACCGGTAAACGGCAGAAGATGGCATATTTATCAAGTAAATGCCTTTTTTTTTAATAGACTCTGGGGTTATGAGATTCAATCTAATGATTTGAATAAAAGTTTAAAAGCAAAACGGGCACTAGGCCGTCCTATAATTCCACTTTTTCGTAAGGATTCACTGTACTGCTGTGGCCGGGCCTCTAGGGGTCACAATAGGGGTTTTATTTACGGGGACCCATGGAAAAATGTGCATTTCCCGTATTTAGTTCTGCGATCGCTGTCTTTTTACCACCAAAGCCGCCTGTTTTTACTGTAACCCAGCGGTTGGAGATCGTATCTAATGGTTCCACCCACTCCCAATACCTTAAAGGAGAAACCCCTCCGCCCCCTCATTAGTTATGCTTGCCAGGCTTTTCTTCTAAACTATGCTGTTTGTAATGGGTTGTTCCATTTGAATTAGCAAGTCAGAATTTCCAAGAGTCTCTAAGGTCAGATTTTTATTAGAAAAGGGGGAAGAAACATTAAAAATGCCTCCTTTAAATAAAAAAATAGCCTTTTTGTCAAGTAAAACTATGAAGGGCCATTCCTTTTTGGGTTAATTAGAGCATCTTTTCCTTTAAACTCTATGAGCAAATTAACAAATTTTTACATATGTGTCGATATAGAAGAGGAGGAAATGTAGAAATATTCATTCAAAATTTAAACATCTAAATCACTTGACTGACTTTAACTTTTCTTCTTGATTAAGATGGATTACAGAGATGAATTTAGAAGAATTTAGTCTTCATTTTCCTTTATTACGTGCTTTATGCTGGCTGAAATCATAGCTGCTCTCTTTGCGTTTTTATTGCAAACTCTGTGAAAGTAAAAGCTGGCTCTGGTTTCGTATGATGCTGCTGTGAGATGAGCCCGTATTACGTAACGGCATAATGCATTTCTGCGCCACCTTGTACATTTCGGATCGGCGGTAAAGCATCGGCTCTTCCCTCTCCAGGCTTTTCCTTCAGTGTGACATTTACTCCGGATATTAGGCGTGATTCTCCATTCAGAGTAACCCAGTCCTCCCCCCCGGTTGTGAACTCGGGACACCCTGACCTCGCCGTTACCTCGTCTCACTGAAGTCCTCGGTGGTCAAAACGAGTTCAACATGCAAAGTCACAGCAATCAAGAGCATCTTCTGGGGCATCTTTTATTAACAGGGCCATTAAATATTCACCCACAGTGTCAGCCTTCCCCTCCACCTCTCCCCCACTCTGAAACAGAGATGTCCAAATGGGAAGAGCACCCATAAGTCTGTCATTCGTTTAAAAAAAAAAGGGTAATTTTACCTGTGTAGTGCTGTTTTATGGTTATTATTATTGGTTTTTCAGAGGAAGTCCGTTCTCTGCCTTCATTTTTGTGTTATTTTAGCAAAAATGCCTCATTGGAACAGTAAAGAACACTAGTCTTATGTTTATGTGACTAGAGTCTATCTGTCAATCCATCCATCCAGTTGTTAAACACTTAAGTTTTAAGCTAATTTAATAAAAAAATAAAAAATAAAATGAATTATCTCTCTCTATATATATATATATATATATATATATATATACAGTATGCGTGTGCGCATGTATAGATAATTCATTTTATTAATTTTCTTTTTTTTATTAAATTAGCTTAAAACTTAAGTTTTATTTAAATATATATGTATGTTAGATGTATAATATATGTATGTTAGATGTTATAGATGTATATATATATATTGGTATACTTTAAGTCATATGGCTATTGCCAAAGGAATGCTTGGCCGAAAGGTCTTCAAAATTACATCTGAAACTAAAGTTACAAACGAAGAAGCACGTAAAACCTCTCTGTAGATATCCTGAGCTCAGTCATGCTTGTTTCTTCTCGGCGTTCTGAAAAAAATGCAAAGCATTTTGAAAGTCTGAGCCGAGACGTCCAGATTTTGTCCAACAAACTGAGTTTAGTGAGCTTTTTGGCCTTTAAAATTAGCCTTAAAATCCTGTAAAAGCTCTTAGAAGGTCAGTTTGAAAACTGTGTAGGGCCATTCCTTTTTTGGGTCAATGAGAGCATCCTTTATGTAGCGTGTCTATGAGCAAAACAACTATTATTTTTATATATGTGTCGATATAGGAGAGAAGAAATGTAGAAATATTCATTGCAGTCAAAATTGCTGTTTTTTTCCTGCTCTTGTCTCCCCATAAAAATTACTTTAATTGACAAATTATTGACAGAAATCCCTAAATTCCACTCGCAGGAAATGAGTGAATTTGGCAGAAGTTTTCAGTGTTTTCGTTTGAGTTATAAAAACGCAAAAAAAAAAGTGCTTTTTCTTGTGATTGTGCAGGAGGATGTTCCCCTTTCTGAGCTTCAACATCAGCGGCCTGGACCCGTCGGCCCACTACAACGTGTACGTGGACGTGGTTCTGGCCGACCAGCACCACTGGAGGTACCAGGGCGGAAAGTGGGTCCAGTGTGGAAAAGCAGAGGGCAACATGCCGGGTACGTGTCCAGCCCCGCCCCTCCCAAAACCCAACCAAAGTAGGGCCCTCCAATACAGGATCTAAACCGAACCAAAGTAGGTCCCTCAGGAGTCTAAAACCAACCAAAGTAGGTCCCTCCAATACAGGATCTAAACCCAACCAAAGTAGGTCCCTCCATCACAGGAGTCTAAACCCAACCAAAGTAGGTCCCTCCAACACAGGAGTCTAAACCAAACCAAAGTAGGTCCCTCCAATACAGGAGTCTAAACCAAACCAAAGTAGGTCCCTCCATCACAGGATCTAAACCCAACCAAAGTAGGTCCCTCCATCACAGGAGTCTAAACCAAACCAAAGTAGGTCCCTCCATCACAGGAGTCTAAACCAAACCAAAGTAGGTCCCTCCAATAAAGGAGTCTAAACCAAACCAAAGTAGGTCCCTCCAATACAGGAGTCTAAACCAAAACAAAGTAGGTCCCTCAGGAGTCTAAACCCAACCAAAGTAGGTCCCTCCATCACAGGAGTCTGAACCAAACCAAAGTAGGTCCCTCCATCACAGGAGTCTAAACCGAACCAAAGTAGGTCCCTCCAATACAGGAGTTTGAACCAAAACAAAGTAGGTCCCTCAGGAGTCTAAACCAAACCAAAGTAGGTCCCTCCATCACAGGAGTCTGAACCAAACCAAAGTAGGTCCCTCCAATACAGGAGTTTGAACCAAAACAAAGTAGGTCCCTCCATCACAGGAGTCTAAACCAAACCAAAGTAGGGCCTTTTCCTATGTAAAAAAAAAGACAGAAAATCCCACTTAGCCCAAATGTAATAATTTAATTCCTCCTTATAGGTTTAATTCTGTAACCCTTTAAGTGACGCACGTTCTTGTAACTGGTTCTTGTTTCTTCGTTACCGAGACGTGGAACAGACGGGCTACAGATAGGTTGAAGAATATAAATTTTATTTGACTAACAACAAATACATCTTTCCCCAACTGACCTGACCCTTCTTTTATATCCTCCCCCCAAAAGTAACAATAGCCTGACCCCAGAACTAACATTCTCCTGATCCGTTTAATATAGAAAACAAATACAAATATATTGAAAACAAATACAAATATATGGAAAATAAATACAAATATATAGAAAACAAATGCAAATATATAGAAAACAAATACAAATATATAGAAAACAAATACAAGTAAAATAATTGTGTAAAATATTCTATTACAATTCCACAACTTACCAGAGGAAATACTTGGATTGACATTTATTTGAAATCTTGAGTGACTTAGCCTGTGAATAAATGACCGGTTTTGAAGGAACTGCCCAGGAAAGCAGACGCTGTCCAGCCCATTAATGCTATATCACTCCAATCCAATGATATCTTGTGCTATATTTTACATTTTGTGATATATATCTATCACCTATTCTAATGTGGGCTGCAGCCCACTTATTGAAATCCTCTTTTTTCATGCCAGATCCTTTTAATCTCATCGATTTTGGGCCAGATCCTTTTATTTTGGGCAGGTTTTTAAGCCCCCCTCCATTTTGCCACCCACCCCCTCTCATGCATATCCCATCATGCATCTGTGCCTCCACTAAAACAGCAGAATGGCTCCAAATTACCCAAATTCAGAAAGCCTGGCCAGCGCGGCCTGTGAGACACGGAGGATGTTGAGGAAGTGGTTTTTTTTCACATCTGCAGGCGTTGGCTCACATAGGGGCGAGTAAGTCCTGCATCACCATGCAGAGCTCCGAGGTTTTGAGGATATTCTGGTCTGGCTTTTGCTGTGAGCTGTAATTTTATCACACTGCACGCTCTGCAAGGTGTGATAAAACAAACACGGGGGGGGGGGGGGGGTCGAATGACGACACACAGACTGTGGCGTGTTAGTTTAGTTCAGCCGAGCATAGAAATGCAGAATTATCAGCTGAATCACAAGAAAACGTTTCAGTTTTATGAGTTTTTTTAAACCTAATAGGTTGTTTTTCTCCATTTCCTTTCTGGAGGGGCCAAACCAAACTTTGGCTTTAATTTTGTTCTTTATGGCATAAACATAAGAGAGGCTGCATTACCATCAAATAAAGCCAATTAATTTAATCTGCTTTTACACGTTCTGTAAATGTTAAACATTCATTTCTCTTTTTTTGTTTATGGACATTGAAAGAATCCTAAAGAAACTGATGAAAGCAGTGTTTGATGGCCCTTTTCCACGTTTTGCTGCCTTTAAACTTCCCGATTTTAGTCTTTTTTCTCACTTGGATTTCCAGTTGGGTTTAGACATTAATTAACTTTGTTAAACGTTAAAGAAAAAAATTATATGGCATAATCTTCCACCTTTTTTAGTTTGATCCTCGTCAGGCAAAAATGATGACCTCGCACCAAAATGGTGCAAATAAACTACATTTATACTCTGTTGAGTCGTTTTTTTTGCTATGCTGGTCCGTCCTTCCATTCTTGTGCAAATGAACTCCTTCCCATTTAAAAAAAAAAGGCTAAAAAATACATTCTTATTAGTTTGTTCTGGCTTGAATTTGAGCCCGTCATGTGTAATCCGTCACCATGAAACTGTGAAACCTGCTCCGTTGAGTCTGAGTTTGCCTTCATAATCGAGGAACAATAAAATGTTGACGTGTCAAATATGGAGGAATTCAGCCCTTTTATTGCTTGAACTGTGAGTCATATGTTTTCCTTTTAACAACTCGTTTTTTCAGCTGATAATGGCCTGATCAAATCAGCTTTTTAGAACTTGAAAAGTTTGCATTTTAGGGAAATTACTAACCTCCTCTTTAAAAGGACTTCTCTAAAACAAATATCTTGAATCGACACGTTAAAGCGATCTAAAATCAGCTTTCCATTAGTTGCACAACCCTCCTAATCTACAGAAATATAATTTTATATCCACTCTGTTTCTTTTGTTAAGTAGGAAAACTTTTATTGGACCATTGATCGTCTCTTTTTCTGTTAAACCCTCCTGAACCTCATCACTTATTCCTGTTCACACCTTAAAAAAAATACAGCATAATAACAACTCGGTGATCAACGATAGGAAAACCATCATTATATAAACGAATAAAAGTTCCGCCTAAGGTGTTGTCACACATTTGCCAGGTGTTGAGGAAAGGTGTATTTGATGTGCTACAGATGTGGAACCTGTGGTAACACAACTCTTTCAATTAGACTTAATAATGCGCCTGTGTGCTTTAGGTGAGCGGGTCATTGTGGTGATGCTGTGAACGATGCTGATGCTGAGATTGTATCCTGCCATGCAAATAGACTCAAATATTAAAGGAAAAAGAGAATTCAGCCTCACAAACTGCAGGAATCAGTAGAAATGATGGAAATAGGATGTTAGCTGCAGCTTTCTATCAACTTTTTTGCTTTTCTTTATTTGTTAAATCCGAAATGTTTGGCTTTTTTCCTAGAAAAAATTCCATGTATTGTTGCATATGGTTGCAAAATAGAAAATATATAATTATTATTAATATATTACTACTTAATAAAACTTCAAATAATTAAAACTATTGATACATTTTACAATTAATGTATTATGTATTTAAAAACAATTTACAATTTCCTGTAACTAATATTACATCTTTCCTTTTTAAAGTGAACAAAAGACCATATAACAAATTTTTTATAGTTGATTAAATACTCCAACTGATGGAAATAGGATGTCAGCTGCAGCTTTCTATCAACTTTGTTGCTTTTTTTTTGTAAAATCCAAAATGTTTGGCTTTTTTTCCTGGAAAATTCCATGTATTGTTGCATATTGTTGCAAATCAGAAAATATATTACTACTTAATACAATTTTAAATTATTAAAACTGTTTATACATTTTACAATGCATTTACTATGTGTTAAAAACAATTTAAATTAGCAATTTTCCTGTAACTAATATTACATCTGTCCTTTCTAAAGTGAACAAAAGACCATACTGTATAACAGATTTTTGAAAGTTATTTAAATACTCCAACTGATGGAAATAGGATGTCAGCTGCAGCTTTCTATTACCTTTCTTGCTTTTTTTTGTAAAATCAAAAATGTTTGGCTTTTTTCCTGGAAAATTCCATGTATTTTTGCATATGGTTGCAAATCAGAAAATATATTACTACTTAATAAAATTTTAAATGATTAAAACTGTTGATACATTTTACAATGAATTTATTATGTGTGTGTTAAAAACCATTTAAATTAGCAATTTTCCTGTAACTAATATTACATCTGTCCTGTCTAAAGTGAACGAAAGACCATATAACAGAGTTTTTAAAGTTGATTAAATACTCCAACTGATGGAAATAGGATGCCAGTTGCAGCTTTTTATCAATTTTTTTTAGTAAAATCCGAAGTTTTTGGCTTTTTCCCTAGAAAATTTCATTTATTGTCGCATATGGTTGCAAAATAGAAAATATATTACTACTTGATCAAATTTATTAAAACTGTTGATACATTTTACAATTATTTTACTATTTTCCTACTAATTTTCCTGTAACTAATATTACATCTGTCCTTTCTAAAGTGAATGAAAGACCATATAACAGATTTTTACGTTTATTAAATACTCCGACTACAATGCATCCTTGATGAACATTTTTGTGAATAAGGATTCATTCGGTTGATTTCAGGGAACAGGATGTACATGCACCCGGACTCCCCGAACACGGGCGCCCACTGGATGAGGCAGGAAGTGTCGTTCAGCAAGCTGAAGCTCACCAACAACAAGGGCAGCACCAACAACGTGGCCCAGGTACCGTCCCCCTAA